GCTATATACTTACAGTGTACTTTATAAGTATGGGTTGTCAATGACCAGGAAGGAAGTAGAATAATAATTTCAACTTAATCTATGCCTGTAATTTGATAAGATGTTCATTGAGCACTTGAATCTTTGTTCCGTCTGTTCATATAAATTGTATTAGGGCTGTATTGTGCACACTGCTCACAAGTGCTCCATTCTAAGGAGACATTGTGCAGGCCGTACAATTGAACATGCTCTTTCCAGCCGTCCTCTGCCTTTCTTTGTCGCCTTTTTCTTTTCCATTCTTTTACAGCTTTTCTTCATAAACACAGACAGTGACGCACGTTTTTGCAGCATTCGCGAACACTCACACAGTCAGGCAAATAGTCTGTCTTTTATCTTATTCTGTCTCATCTCCTCATTGTAAATAGAAGAGAATTAAGTTCCGAACGCTCTCCACTTGAATGTGCCCTATCACAGAACTACATTTTATTGTCGGCTCAAATGAAGGATTGAAATATGACGGGGGTTTTGTCAATGTAGGGCTCATTGGACAGGAGATAACGGCATTTGATTCTGTTTCTTTGAATAACGTTAATCCCCAAAAACGCAAAAGTCCATTATTCATATTCATCTCTTTTCATTTGGCCCCTCTTCTGATTTTGTAAATATGATTTCTTCAGACCCCCTTTTTTCCAAAAGCAATCTTTATTCACCGAAAAGGACTTTTGAAATGCCTCTATCGCAGAGCAGAAACCATTACCATACACAGGTTTAGGAGAAGTAGTCATTAATGCTCTTTTATGGTGGCCCTTTAGTGCCAAAAAGGAAGCTTTTAATTCTCAGGCACAGCAGCGGTAGCCTAGTTAATCTGAGAGACTGGGCCTTGTCAAATGTATTTCCATGAAGTCTTTTCATAACGTTACCAGTGTCCCCACATAAAACAAAGACAATATACGTCTGAAACATACACAGGTATGACAAAGGTGACAAACGCCTCTAAAAAAGGCAGAAATTATTTAGGAAGTTATTTAAACTTTCACCTTCGTTGATTTGCTCAGAGATGGGATTTTTAATTTTAAATGCACTGGTTTTTAAGCACCATTTTTAAGTCAGCGCCTTTGTGGCATTTTGATTTATTAAGCAATCTAACGTATGGAATATGTGCGCCCTTCTCTTGTTACTTCTTTATTCCATATGCAGAGTAAGTTATGGCAATGATGAATTAATTTCACTCAAGCACAGAATGTGTGATTATTTTAAATAGTAACCATATCATGACTTGATCAGGGAGCTGTGAGGAGGCAGCAGCCTGTGAAATGTAATTTCTATTACTATTATTTTATTATTTTGATCTTGCAAACCAGAAGACATTCAAGCCAGCCACCTGAAATGTGAAGTGATAATGAATGGATGTGAGGATCAGAGCCTTTCAGATGATTTCTGCCTTTTTGTTGTCTTAATGAGAATATTTTTAACAACTCATGCATATAATTACTCTGACTGCGCTCGTGTTGATAGATCCGTGGTAGAGGCGGGCACATGTGAGGATGGATAGCCCCAGCCTCGGCCTCTGTCAGACTGCTTGTATGATAACGCTACATTCCCCAGTCCTCAGACCGCAGCCGCAGACAACGCAGTATTCCCTCCAGATGGATGGGCCGTGTCATAGTGTGTGTTTACCGCACATGATCGAATGGGAGACAGGCCAGGTAATGAGGCCACATTAGAGGCTTTTAGAGCTCGCAAACAAAGATGGAGAGCCGCTTCTTCCCTCTTTAATGATAGGTGTGTGAGTGCGGCTGCAGCGTACAAGTGTGTATGGCTTCAGATGTCCACCTTACACCTTTGTTTTGTCACTTCACCCAGAAAAAAGACCACATATATCCGCAATCTCTGCCAAACACGTCATCAGGACTCCTCCTCTGTTTCTTCACCTGATGGCTCTGGCAGATTTGCAAAGTGCCAGATTCATGAGTAAATATTTGCTCGAGTAGAAGTGGAATAGGTTGCGCAAGGAATGAGACAAAAGCTGGAGTTGTTTAAAGCTTTGCAAATATGACTGAATATCTTTATCTGGAACTATCTTTTCTTTGAGCTTCTATACCTAAATAGAACCATCAGAACTATGGCCTATTTCGAAGTTATCTCATGTCTTCCACCTAAACACTCACTATCACTATCATCAGCCTTCCCAAAGCTATACATCTGCAGAATTACCAACGTTATTACCCGGCAATCACAGGCTTCCGTGTTTCCGATCTCTATAATAAGTGGTCTAAGTTCTCTCCCTCATTGGAAGATTATGGCTTTGGGGAAACGACATCAAATAGCGGGTGTGTTTGAAACGCAGGACACCGGCAATTTATGGGATGTCAGTCTGCTCGCGCGCACACTGGCAGAACTGCTGTAACGTTCGCCTCAAGGTGGCACGCTCCTTCCGACCCAGTTGCTTTGGAGGACAGGCCGATCCGGGGTCAGCACTGGTCACGCCGTAGCCTCAAGATTTGTAGAAACTGTTTGTCCCCCCAGGTGCGGAGTGCATGCGTCACCGGGCTATTGTGCGTATAGTGACAGCCCCATCACCCACATTCGGGGCAGCTTGGGGAGGCCCTGTCGTGCAGCCCACCTCTGCTTCTAATTGACATTCTAATTGGCAGATTTGAATGCCGACTTTAGATGGCTAATTAATTTATCTCACCACTGTCATTAAGGTTAAGACACCATCTGATCTCTGCGAATACACTTTGCATATATCTGCATTGTTATCGCGTCGCAGTGTTGTGTGGTTTTCAGATTGTGTGAGATTATCATAATTTTGTCTCTTTGTCTAAAAATACATATTGATGTGAGCCATTTTTAAGGGTCCAAATCAAATCTCCAAGTTTCCTTTTACCTTCCTGGTTAAGATATTAACTACAATCCTATTTCCTGTTCTTGTATAGCTTCAAGTTTTCTGAACATCCGTCGCTGGTTCATATAAAGAAAGATCCCGGCTCCATTAGAATGTTCATAAAATGGCAGTAAAGGCAATCAGACAGTCTTTCTCTGAATATTTTAAACATCGAGCATGTAAAATTTATGCCTAATTTGAATACTTATTAGCTGGCTGATCTGGGGCCGCAGCCTTGAGTTTCTTATGCTGAGATTCATCACCGGATTGGATGTCACATTGTGCCAATCCTCTCCACCAAACCCGCCAGCACCTCCACCCTCCCTCTATCTCTTCTGCTCGTGTCATATCCCCCCCTTTTCACCCACCTCCCCTTTCTCCCCATCAGAGTAGCGGTGTTAAACATTGGCCGGTGTGTTCACAGACGCGCCTCGTCCTGGCCTCTATCCCTCCTATTTAGTGTTGTCCGGGGCAGCTGTCGCCCTGCTCTGTGTAACAGCCAGGGCCTGTTTGTTCTGGCTGCCTGGATCCTGTTTACTCGGGCGCTGGACATCCTTTAGGACTGTCCCGAGCCTGGCCCTCGTCAAACACAAATCTCCGTGGCACTCACAAACACGCTCTTCTATTAAATTGCTGTTTACCAAAGACGCACATGCTTCCTCAGCGTTGGCCGGAGACTTTCTTAATATTTCAGAAGTCCTTAGTTCTTAGACAGGGCATTGTTTGAAAATGAGACTTTTTTGGGGTGACTCGCTGATGGGGTCTTGGTAAATGCAGGCGAGAATTATAAAACATTTATTACTGCAGAGAGAGGCTGTAATATGCATAATTTATGCTGTTTTAACAATCATTAGTGTTATTAGAATTTTATTATTTTCTCCCGAGTTTGCCTCTTTTCATATCTTTGTATGTTAATGCATTCACAGTACATTTGCATGATAGCCCACATTTATTTACATTAGTGAGGTTTGAATCAATTCCTCAAGTTTTCAGCACTGCATTACGCTATCCCATTAAGCTTAGTAATTATTAATAATTTTATGCTGCCCCAAAATAAATGAATCTGTGTGGTTTGATTAAGGCAGAAAAGGATCAAGGTAATAATTTGACATATGAGCGTCCGTCCTCTATGGAAGCCTGCAAGGCACATTTTATTTCACTGGAGCAAAGATGACAAACCCATTATAGTGTTCATCAGCGCGGCCTGCCCCGTACCATGTGATCCACTGTCTCCCCCGCCCACAACCCTCCTCCCTCCAAATTTTAATTTTACATGATTAGCTTTGCGTCATTAGGCAACTTTGGTCACATATGACATGCTACATTTGTGAGACATTTTACTATATTACTATAGTGCCTTATTATCAGGGTCTTTTCTCAGGTCTATTTTTTCATTATTTTAGGTCTATTTCTATTTATAGTAGACCAGTCACACACACAAAGTTTGATGCAGCACAAAAAGAATATGTTCCTTTACAACTGACATACTTTTACTCAATAAAGCATGTTACTCCTTTTTGATTTGTCAGTGATTATTATGCATGTTACTAATTCAACCATGCAACTTACCTTACCATAACATATAAAAAAAATATTCTCAATACTGAGCTGCAAAAATACATTAAATCTGATATAGCAATTAATATGACAAGACCATCAAGTTTCTTAATTTGCAAAACGTAGTGTCAGTTTTGTCTTAGTGCTTCAATCCAGTGCTTATAGGAACATAAGGTTTCAGCAGCCACCCCCTTTTTTTCCCCAAATAGCACCCGGACGTGCATCTCTTTGTATTGCTTCATTTACACAATGAATGCATAATTGCTCCTTCTGCACCCCTCCCTCCTTTTTCCTCCCTCTCCCCCTCCAAACCCCTCCCCTCCCACTACTTTAAATGCTTTAATTTGCAAAAAAAAAGGGGTTGTGTCCGTGCGTGTGTGTGTACGTGTATGTGTGTGTATGGGGGGGTGTAGAAGAACCGACCGGCTTTATAATAGAAGAAGCATACAAAAACAAGGAAGAAAGAAGAAAAAAAATGTAACGAGAAAAGAGCCCTAACCGGTGCCTCTTAATCACTTCTAGGTTTTAAATCATGATGATGCAGGAGACGGCCACAGAGACAATAAGCAACAGTTCAATGAGTCAAAATGGATTGAGCGCCCTAAGCAGTAGCCAATTAGAGGCTGGCAGTAGAGACGGCAGATCAAGCGCCGGTGACACCAGCAGCGAAGTAAGCACAGTCGAGCTTCTGCATCTGCAACAACAGCAGGTAAGTTGTGCTGCTGCTACTACTGCTACTACCGCTGCTGCTGCTGCTGCTGCTGCTGCTGCTGCTGCTACATCTCACTCACTCACTCACTCACTCACTCACGCTGGTCCGCTCTCGCACACCGCTTCTCCCCTCACAAGGAGCAGACGAAAGCAAGCAGGCAATAGAGAAAGATGTACAAGATCTTTTCGTGTTTGGGAGGAATAGAAAGACTTGTTTACATAATCGTCTGGAAGTTTGTTGTGCTGTCTGCGGGGTGTTTTGCTTGTAGTTGTTGATGCGTGGAAGTGTTTTTTTGTTTTGTTGTCTGCCGTTTGATGGTTGTTTGAGAGGGTTGCGGTGAGAGCGGAGACAGGGAGAAAGTATGACTAAAAAAGGAGGGGGGAAGTCAGTAGTTGAGCGCATGCAAGCTTGTGTGTGTGTGTGTGTGTGTGTGTCATAGTGGTAGTGTAACCAGCAGAGGGCCTCATAACTCGACATAGCATGAGAGCTACAGTCTTGGGCTCAACGGAGAAATGTTTGACCACTTCACAAAAGCATGTTTAAAATCTTCACAAACAAGAATGCATTGCACACTCAAAATGTAGATGTCCAAACTATAATTGAGTCTTCTTTCTCAGATCATGTTTTTCTCTTTTTATCTGTTATAGTGTGCAATGTTTTGGAAATTGTCCGTTTTGTATTTTCACCTCATCAAGTACTTTTTGGTGTGTGATTCATACTTTTTTCACAAACCTATCTTATTAACATAAATTTTGGCACAACTATAATTGTATTAATATTTTTTTTCAATACATAGGGGAATCTTTTCCACCTATCTGTCGCTCTCAATGCAAAGTAGTAGCAAGCTTTTGTGAAATGTCGATTGCACAGTCAATCTTCAGGCGCAATTTCAGAAACTTGAAATGATAGAATCTAGCAACAACAACACAAAGTTTCAAACAAAAACAAAGTTTTTTTGATCCCATTTATAATGCAACTCTCACTATGTTGTGGACTTACATTCATTAACAAAAATGTAGACATGTGCACACTGTAATGGCTGTAAACATAGACTACTGAATAATAATTTCTTAGATTATATATAAGAGTGCAGGATGCAGCTTTTTGTGTTGTCTCCTTTTCCTCCATCTAGGCATTGGGTTTGCCATAGTATAAGTTTAAGTAGTAGTAAAACACTTTCTGTATAGTTGATATTATGAATTGACTTGTTACTTGCATGTTTTAATTTTATTTTTATTTTTAATCAAATTGCATTCAAAGTCATTATGTGTGGTTATGTCTACGTAGCTCTCTCCAGCGGTGTTGCTCTCACTCGGAGCCCTGTATGGGGGGGTTGAATGTGCTGGAGGGAGGTGCATTGTTTGAGCCGGTCTGGGGGGCAGGAGTTGTGAAAGTCAGGCGCCGCCGGACCTAAGGAATCAAGTGTCTCTCGTGTCTTTTCATGGTGAATGATGCTTTTGACAGTTTGCCAAAAGAGCAGTGGGAGACGGTGTTAGAGGGCTGCGCTTTGGGGTGACCGTGTAGCCAGGACCGTCAGGACGCGGCGCAATATCCTCTCTCTTTTGGTTTCAGTACAGAAGAGCAGGGTGGTAGCAGCTGAAGCCCCGCAGTCCTGTGGCCAGTTGCTCTTCACTGAGTTTAATTCAAGAGAGGAAAGGGCATACTTATCCCAAGCAGAAAAAGCACAAGTATAGAACGGAAAATGTACTACTTCAACTCAGTCAGAAAACCACTCTGATATTCAAGAAGTAACATTTTATGTTTGAAGAATGAATGCTTATAAAGCCTTTTTTAGACGTTTGTTGTTAAACGGATCTAAGGTAGTTCGTTAGGCAGTTTGTAGTTTATTGAACAAGGCCAACGCACAGAAAAAAAAAATATTTACACAAGATTTAGCCACTGCTTTCCACCTGTAGTCCCTGGCAAAAGTGGAGCCCTGAAATGTCATGAGAGATATACAGAGTCTATAACATATGTAATTCTGTGGCATTGGCCTTTAAAGCTGGGCGTTCAATCTTTAAACAACAATATATGAAAATTCTATATCAATCCATCCAACTAGTTCTTTGCCCTCAAAACAGTTTGGTTCCATCAGGCTTTTTCAGACTGAAAAGCGAAAAAGACAGGACCCCCTCAGGCCAAAGCAAGAAATAGTGACTCGCATGGAGTTTGCAAAAGTTTTAGAATAAGATCAAGGAAGCATTATACTTTTACAAGACGATCGGTTGAAACACAAATAATGTATTATTATGAAAAAAGTTAGGTATCCCAGCTTTAAAGGGTTTTAACAGTTGATTTTTGCATTGAAAAATTACAATAACAGTTTTGAAATTACCATCAGGCTTATTCCATATATAAATTACTGAGAGTGAAGTTGAATACAGCTGCTTTTGTGTTGTTAAAAGAAAATAACTACCCATTTAGCACTTACTGTTTATATCAATGTCACATCTTCATACTAGCTCCACCAACTCCTCTGCACCCCCTCATCCCAACACCATCCTCCCCTAGCCCTTTGCCCCTGCCCAGTCAGTGGTCTTGCTGGTACTGGTTTGAACCACTGTGGCCTCCTCCATTCATCACCACTGTGCCATTCTTTCTCACACACTGGGACCTGATTGGGGTCAATGCTCGGGTCCTCAGGTGTGCGATGGTGGTGGGCTCCAATCCAACATTTGAAATAGATGCAACTGTTGTAATAGATTGAACGTGTGGGAGTGTAGAGACATTAAAAGGGGCATTGTACAGACTTGTTTCAGCTTTTAATACAATATAATGTTATTTACCCATCAGTAGCTACAATGCAATAAAAATGAAAAAGTAAAAAAAAAACATGCTTGAATTGGCTTCAATGTGTCTGGATTTTGCTCAATTCTGTTCATCTGGAAACAAGACTCGCCCATTTTCACTTGGATTGAAAAAAATTGGCTACAGTCCTTGCTAAGTAGTTTTTGTCTTTTGTAGTGACTAATTTGTGGCCAAGTTAAAATAGACTTGAAAAAAAAAAACATTCTTACTCCATGCATTACATTTTACTACCTTATATGTGATATGCAAGGCTTCAGTGCTCAGAAAGAACTTTAATATCAATATCAAGTTTTAGACCAATACACATGTGCTCTACCACCAAAATGTGTCTTTTTTAAAATCAGACAGACAAGATGTGTGAATCTATTCCTTGGTTAAATTGAATAAAACATATATAAACTCAGCGAAATGTAATCGTTACGCATTAAATCCTCATTACATTATTAAACATAGTGAGCCATAGTGCATATGCTCCAACACTGTATTTGAAGAGTCGGCTGGAGGAGGAGAATAGCATTGTCAGCACCGGTGCCTTGTTAAGTGCAGGAGATAGACATGCTACTATGAGCCCGTGGTGGGCGACTTGCAGCTGCTTATGAGGAGTGGGCGATCGGACTATGACAGTGTGTCTAGTAAAGATACCAGACTGGTGCACACATAGGCCCAGCGACGGACACGTTGGAATAAGCCGTCCAGTTAACAGGTCTCTGGAGGCTTTTTAAAACAGGGGTCCGCCGCTGTTAACTTCACACACACTTCCTGTAGCGTTCACACCGAATCTGCAAGACCAAAATGGCGTTTTAATTAGGCTTGTGTGACATAGCGTGGATTCCTTGGTGTAATGGCAAATGTAATATGTGAATGTATAGTAGTAACACAATCATGTTTTTTCACCAGTTTTTCAGTTTTCCTCAGTTTTTTTTACCCGAGTGAACTGGTGCTTAGAAGAACAAATAATATATATTAGCTTATCCCATATATGGGAATCAAGATTTTTTGGCTTTCAACCCTCCTTACAATTTGCTAGATTCACGCATGTCAATCTTTTGATAAGTTAATCGATTTATCACAACTACAGTACTTTAGTAAACTATTTAATCCTATATTCATTGACTTTTCGGGCTTCAACAACTATTTGGCCAACTAATCAATTATCAAAATATTTGTTTATCTTTTGTATTGTTTCACATAACACCTGTCCCTGCCCCTTTACTTTTTTACTTTCTGGTCATTTTTCATCAAATTCTTGCTCCAAGTCAAAGTTGAATGTATAAAATATAGATATTTTTCCCAAAGTTATACGTTAAAATGCCGCTTTGATGAGACCTTTAATGTCGACGGTATAAATTCTGAAGTATAGTAAGCAAAATGGTTATGGTTTCAAATTCAAGGGCAGAGATCAAATTCCACATCTACTTTCCGTCCATTTTGTAATTTTCTGCCCATATTTGGAATGACATTGAGTGGTCCAGTGGGCATAGAGGCCCCACTCTCTCATCATGCTGCTGGGGGGATGATTAAGAATAAGCACTGATGAATTCTTCACTGTCCCTGTAGGTTTAGCCATTACCGAGCACCTCCAAAACACTACCTGCAGCTATAATTAGAAAAGCACCATCTTAAGGTCCCTGCGCCTCAGAAAGGGCCAAAGGCTCACAGGGCCCTCACCATGAACAAATTATACTTAGTCAAATATTTAAACTTGACTTTTACTCGGGTTTGGTGGAATATTAGAGGAGCTTGTATTATTTTCATGCAAAGTATGCCGAGATCGGTGAAGCTCAAATAGCTGCTACTGTATATTCATAAACATTTCCAACTCAATATAGATCTAAAACTACTTTTTAAAGGATACAAGTCCATGGATTAGTATTGATTGTTGTCTTTAAATTATCATCAAAACAAAGCGCCGACATAGCAGCAAGGATGGTACATTGTATGCTGTTTTGGTTTTACTTTGTACCTTGTAAGCCGACATAGTGTGCCCAGAAATGTCATATCAAAATGTATTATTATTATTATTTAGTTCTAATGCTTATTAATGTAAGTAAAGAGCAGTTGTATTGATACTGCATTTAAAACACATGCAATAACAGAATCCTATCTTTAGTAGACACAGTCCTTCTTGTTCCTATTTTTTTCTGCTGATGCATGCACATTGTTATAAAAAGCCACCTACTTCGTTATCC